AAGGAAGAAGATGATCGAAAGAGGGGAAGAAGATGGATCAAGAAAGGGAGATGGGTAAATTTGTAATTTTTTATTTTTTTATTAAGGTAAAATCAATTTATGAGTTGGCGATGAGTTGGATGAGTTGGCGATGACGTGCCTTAAAAAAAAATTCCAAATCAGCGCTTTTTTAAATTGTTTTTGCCATGTCATCAAAAAAATTATAAAAAATGTCACGTGTCGTAGTTAACGGTCTAAATTGATAGAATGACTAACGGAGTGTATTTCTTAGAGCTGAAGGATCAAAAAAGTGCAAAAAATTGTTAAGAGATCAAAAATGTGCAACTCACTAAAGTTGAGGGACCAAATTTAGCATTTAACCTAATACTAATTCAATCAATTTCTTTTATATACTTCACGTAGGTGATATGCTGTGGTTCTAGAATCCAGCCAGCTCATTGTTTAACTAAAAATTCCCAAGTACCCAATATAGCCATTGCTTTGATTTGATACTATAAATAAGGATATTATTTTTAGAAAATTTTTTAATTCAGAATATGATATTTTTTCTTTATCAATTAAAAAGTATTATATTTCAAAAGTTTCAAATTGAAGATATTAACTTCATATTTTTTTAAAAAAAAGAATTAAGTGGATGGGTAAGAAATCTTTTTTAAGTTTGTTTTATTTGTCCATTTAATTTTCTTTAAAAAGAGATTAAGTATTTGATGATATACTTCAAGATAATAATAGAATCTTAGATGGTGGATTAACTTTTCATCGTTTCTTCTTCTAAACTAATATAGATTATACAAAAGAAGTGGAGACCACTCTTACAATCTATTTGATTTGAGAGATCCAAAAGAAATGAGAGGGGAGGGGAGGAAAGAGGAGGAGAGGAAAGGAGAAGTGACCTTATTTTAACCAATTAAATTGTTGGGCTAATAAAATAATTTGATTGATTATAATAATTTTCACTCCACTTATCTCCCATCCCTCAAAGCAAGTAAAGTGTTGAAATTCAAATTTGAGATGTCCAATGTCGAATTGGAATTTTAAGTTTTCACCTTGGAACTCTTATTGCAACATGCCTCTGTCTTAATTTCTATTCCTCCTCTTGAAAATAATTGTAGTTTTTTTGTTTAGAATATATTAGATCAATTGTCATTTTGTCATATTTAAAAAAAAAATATTTTTTAATTACTTTAATTTTATTATTATCTTTTCACTTAACTATCCATCTTATAAAAAAATTTTAGAACTTTATAAATAAAAAATATAAATTATTCTCAAATCTTTAGTTGAAAAAAAAAAAGAGTCAAAAATGAAAGTTATTTTGTGATAAAGGATTAATTAATGGAGAATTCTGTTTGGACCAGAAACAGTCCAAAGATTTTAGTTTGGAAGTTCAGAAAAGGAAAAGAGTCCGAAGATGTTAAATGATGGGCCGAAGACATGGGCAAGATATTATCCTTACCCGTTTCTTTTGGGCTATTTAGCCATAGAAAAGTCCATTATCCTTATTGGGGTTGGTACTAATGTGCCATGACATTTTTTTTTTTTTTTTCAAAATTTTTTGAAAATATGTTACTGGGAGGTGTTGGTTTTAACTTTCGTGTTTGTATATCTCAAACCTAGAAAATGGGAAAATCAGTCCTGTTACTTCTGTACTGCCTCTAAGTTTCTAAAGTCTTGTAAGAAATGGACAGTCTCAACTATTTCAATAACATCTTCAATAATTTGTAGGAGATACTTACAAGGTGGAGTCTCTGCTCCCACTTAAAAGAAACCTACCGTCTGCAGACCAGTTGAATGGCAAAATGGATTGTAAGCAACAAAATAATTAAAATAACAGATTATAAAGTCTGCATTTGTATGCAGAAGAAAATAAAAGCAGAATATAACGGTAAAACTTATTTTTAAACAAGAACGTCCAGAAATATGTAACATAGCTTCTGACAGCACTCTTGATAAGGGATTAAAACGGAGACAAATAAAAGTTGTACTCTAACAAACAATGGCTACCACCAACATGGACCGCAATAAGAGAAAAATGTAGCAGTTATACTTTTTACCTGTTAATGACCTGTTATACGTGTCTTGGGCTGCTTGCTGACAGAATGGTCCTAAAGATCAAATCCTGGAACCAATCTTTCAAGGGCATTGCCTTTCATTTTGTTGTGACTTTCCAGAGCAACCTATATTTGATAAATGGAAAGGAAATTTAATTCCTCATACAGAAGAAAGTATGAGGTCCCTGAACTCTATGCAGGAAGCCTGAAAAGAATATTAGAAAAGAATCAAAAAAAGCAGGAAGCCTATTGGACTGTAGTTAAATATGTAACAGTACCTCAATTGAAACTACATATTATGTAGCAAACCTGAGTAATGAACAGTCAATGACTACACATTTCAAAAAATTTGAATAGTGCTAACAACCCAGTTTAGATAAAATTCAAGGTAAAACAAAAACAACCACAAAGGCGATTGGCATTTTCACATTTTTTTTATATTCAGCAGCACCAATGCTCAGGCAATAAAGCTAAGAAAGGAATCCCTTAAATCCGAATTGTACATAATCTTTTTACCTAAGGAAGAGGTTGTGACAGAATAACCACAGTTAGGCACAAGTATTGCGGGAAACAGAAGTATAAGAGTAATTGACTTAGATAAGTAATTAATCGAAATAACCAATAACACCCAACAGCAAGCTACCTTTTTCATTTCCTCCGAAGATGAATATTATGATGAAACGTGGACCAAGTAGCCAATTTAATAAGAAAGTTCACAACAACAAGCCTCTTAAAGCCTCTTAAAGCAAGCATGTAATCTATGCCTTTTAAGTTGGGATGTTTAAGGGTTTGAGGTACCCCTTATACTTCTTTTTTCAATAAATATTACTTTTTCTGTTCAAAAAAAAAAACAAGCCTCTTAAAGCAAGCATTCTTCTAAGGAGAGAATCATTCTATAACCTACAGGTGAAACTTGAAATGGGCCAAAAAAAAAAAAAAAAAAAGAACAAATTGGGCATGCACCACAAAGATGATTTCGAAGATCTTTAAATATGCAAGAGACTACAAACAACACCAGCAAGTAAAGAGGCACAGTTATGGATAGAAAAATAAAATCTGGCTGACCTCGTGAATAATTGTGCGAAAGTGCAATAAGCTAAAACAAATATAAACAACATTTGGGTGACACTGTAAAGGATGTAAAAAGGGTTACCTTCAATTCACAAATTAGCTACCCCTGAGTAGTTTCCCAGACTTTAATCGTACAATCCTGGGAGCTGCAGCCAGCTCACCGAAGATTTAAGTAACAAATGGATAAATTTCAAGAGCAAAAACTGTGTCAAGTCAAAATCCTATGGGCAAATAGAACTACAGAAGCCATCCCCTTATGAAGGATCAAGTTTCATAAAAGCACAATTAAATAAAATGCATACCCTTTATATATTACTCCGTCACCGCTCCATTTCACAAGTTATTGCAAGAGTTTGTCCACTAAGACAAATAACACATCTCCTTAAAGAAATGTGCCATATACAAGTGTGATGAAATAAGTAGGAGAGAAACATATGAAGAAAATACTTTTCTTGATTCATTTGAATATACTAAGTGCCTATTTATAAGCCTGTATAAGAGAATAGTCTGTGATACAAAATCAATTAATTTAATTATGTCAATCAATTATAATCTGAATATAATCATAGCAATCAAGGGAGAATATTCTGTAACATCTCCCCTCAAACTCAAGGTGGTGAAGAAGAGACCAGCTTGAGTTTGGAAAGAAGAGTGCGGAAGCGTCCAAGAAAATGAGCCTTAGTGAAAAGATCTGTAGGCTGATCAGCAGAGCCAATAAAGACCAGGTAGACAGTACATTTGGCAACATGATGCGAATAAAATGACAATCAACCTCA